ACTTGTTTAAAAATTACCTGGAATTAACAATCAGCAATAAAATAGCCACTTTGGTTGGTGAAACCAAATTATTCATGGCTGCTAATCCAAAAAGGGATTGTGAAGAGCTGCCAATGGTTGGCTCCAAACTGGGAGGCAGATGCCAAAATGATAAGTGCAGTTCAACGTAAGCAAGGACTGAATGATGCAGGTGGGGGCAAAAAGGCCCAACTTCACATCGATGCTGATGGGATCCGTGCTAATGGTGACTGACCAAGAAAGAGAGCTTGGGGTCGTGGTGGACAGTTCAATACAGCATACAATAGCGGTGAAAAAGGTGAATTCCATGTCAGGCATACTTAGGCAGGGCATCAAGAACCTGCCAGTATTTCATGCCTTACACAAACCAATTGTGTAACTACGCCTGGAATACTGTTTGCCATTTGGCCACACCTAAAAACGGACACTGAAGAACTGGAAACAGTTCAGAAAAGGTCAACAAAACTGATCTGGGGCACAGATTAACTCTTCTATGAGAAAACATTGCAACATTTGTGACTTTTCATCTTAGAAAAGGCAAGTAAGGGAAGACATGGCAGAGGTGTACAAAATTAAGCACGAGGTGGAAATGATAAGACAGGGAGATATTTTCCCCTCACAATAACGTGAGGTATAAAATTATCCAAAACAGAAAATCTTCCAGAAAATTTCATCAACACATTCTTAAAAATGTATTTGCTAAAATGTCACCAAGGCACCCCTCCTCTGAAAGGCCGCTTGGGTTCAATGCTGGGTATGAAGAACTGATAGAGCATTTTTGTGCCACCGCCTCATTCGTGCACCTGCAAGTAATTTTTTGTCACAGGTCTACAGGCTACGGTTTAAACACAAGTCCGTATTTGAGTGCAACATGGCATACCTGTAGTCTCTAAACTTGGGTCAGATTATCTGTTAGACAATCCTTGAGGAATTTACCAGAGCAGGGATGGGAACAAACAATTAAATGAATTCAAGACAAAAAGTGTTGCTATTTTGCTTGGCTTTAGGTTATTTTGGACAAATTGATTGATTGGATCAATTTCAACCGAGTGTGTCCATTTGGAAACAAAAACAGTGTTTTGACTGGATTGGTGGATAATCTTTGCTGAAAATGGGGCAGTAGGGCCAAACAGGAGTTGATTTTCCTGGACCACGTGCCAGATTTTGTACCACTGACTACAAAACCCTCCTCCAGTGGTTCCAGGCACGGCACTGAGGTGGCCGCACCCATAACTAATAAGTAACTAGCAAATTACATTTTTGGTAGACAATACTTCATCCCATGGGGTTAATCCAGGAGGCACTGCAGGAGTCCACATTGCCTCCCATGCTGGAAGAGGTCATCCAAGGATTTGGAGTAATTATCATTGGTTTGCGGCACACAGCCGACTCTTGCCTCTTTCTAGAGACTTGCTGGGTAGCCACACCCAATGCAATATTTAGCAGTGGCAGGGAGGCCTTAAGAACAAAGAAGGGATTCAATGTGAATAACAAACACGCTGAAATAAACCATGTATGTGTTCACAGGTGCCAAAAGAATTATCAGAAAAGGAGAACAAAACAAGTATTTTCAGCTCAGCCCTGAGTAATTACTGCTTTCCCCAAGATTTCCTGGTATTAAGAGAATGAAAAGAAATATAAACCTATTAGAAGGTGGACCTATATTTCATTAAGTCCCAGGAAAGTCAACGGGGCTTAATATTTTGGCAGGCCTGCATTTGGTTGCACTGGTGGCAAAGGGTTACTGAAGCGTTCTGAAACGTGATAGCAGCTCTGCAGGGACTATGGCAATGAAGAGCCTCAACTGAACCACATTTCAGCTTCCCTGTTTCTTGGGGTGGCAGGCTAGACTGCAACTCCGGGAATCTCGGGTACAGATAACTGCATCAGAGCTCCTCACCAGTAGCCTGAGTACAGGTGGAAGACCACCAGATCCAACCCATGATCCTTCTTAGAGACTCCCTTTGAATGCTTTTTAAGTGACACTGCTTACCAATACCCAAATATAAAGCACTCCTATCAAATATGCTTTCCAGAAGCACATAGCAGCATGTATCACTGCTTTCCTTCATGAAAGGGTCAGTTTCCTATATGCATCTGTTTAAAGCCCCCCCCCCAAAAAAAAACCAACTGAAGCATGATGCAAATACCAAAATATAAAGTCAAAACCTAAGCAGCAGCTTCCAGCTGCACAGATAACTAAGAAAGAAAAAAAGACAGGCTGCATGAGTCAAGATCTGATACAATGAAAGACCAGCAGAGAGGAAGAGATGACACAACCCCAGTTGACCTGCAGGTACCTGCAAGCACTAGCATCATAAGCAAAGAGCATGACTGTCCAGTCAACGGAATTCCAATTCCACATGCAGTCATGTTTTTCCACACACACAAAATTCCATTGAAAACAGGGGAGCAGGCAAAGGGAGTAAACAAACAAGGCAGGCAATTGTTCTGCATGAAACACAAGAGTTTGCACAGCAATTTATTACTCTGTACAAGCACAATCAAAAAATGTAACTGCGACTTAGCTAATTAATCCATGGTGACGTATGTACTGATCAAAACAATTACAATCTGGAAAGAATGTTGACCTGGAATCAACTAAAACAGTTTGTAGTCAACCTGCTCACCCTGATTGCAAATGGATGGAACTTGCTAAGTAAGTATGTTCAGGATCAGCCTTTTAATAATGAAACTGGAATTCTCATTTTCAACAACTTCAAAGCCCCAGGACCTGGGCAAAGCAGCACTTGATGCTGTGTGCTTAGATTTTTGGTATTTTCAAAGTGGTCCAGAAGGAAGGGTTCCGTTCACCTTTAGTGTCTCCCATAGTACATTGGCATGTCCATTACACACATACAGGCAAACTTAATTCACTGTTTTCAAAGAGAAAAACTGCAGCCTTGTAAAAAACCCTTGTATATATATTTTTTGTGCTGGCTGCCTTAAGTTCTAAACAAGATGCCCTCCAGATGCTTTGGCCTACAACTCCCACAGGTCCTCACCAGCATAGCTGAGAATGAGGGATGATAGCAGTGGAAAGGCAGGAGGGCTGCAAGCTGCCAGTCCCTGAAAGGCAAACCTGTTGGTAGTTACTGAGAAGGCAAGTCCCACTGGGCAGAACTGCCTGCAATCCTGATATTCGCTTGGGGGAAGGCGCCATCTAACAGTCTGGCTGTTCTGAGTAAATAGGCACTGGAATCTGCAGATACTTTAATTCCACTCTGCAGAAGATGAAAGCAGCTCAAAGGCAGCTTTCCTTTGAATAATGTTTCTGTGACTTCAACATGCACAGCACAATTGTGTAAAATAACAAAAATGCTGCTAAAGCATTACAGTGCATGCTTTCTATGCAATAATTAAGCAGACACACCACAGGCCACACTGCAATTGCTTTTGGGGATCCTTACATGGCATTTATTTACCACTAACTTAAGAAGTGCACCCTTTCCAAATAAATGCATCACATAAAACGTGCTTTAAGATACCAAATTAGCTATTAAAAGTCACAGTGGCTAACAGAAACAAGGAACTAGACAAACCAAACCAGCTCTCCCAAGTCCAAGAAGGAACCAACGCGAGGTGGCGGGGTAAATCCTCCGGATTCCAGCACGCCGGCTCCCAGCGCCAGCAGCGGAAGGGCTGCGAGCGCGAGGAGCCCCCGCACTCGCCGGGCTCCCCTCTCCCCGGCCGCGGGGGCGCGATGCGCCGGAGGGGCGCTCCGCAGCCGCTTCCCAAGTTTGCCGCTCCCGCGCGGCTGCGGGGCCCCGCGGCGCGAGGTCCGCGCCGACACAAAGCCCGCCGCCCCGGCCGGCACTGCGGCCGCCCGCGAGCCCGGCCCGGGCGCATCCCGGACTGCGGCGCGCCGCATGCGATGCGATGCGATGCGATGCGGAGCGGCCGGGCTGCACGCGCACGCCGCCCGCGGGGAAGGGCCGGCCAGGCGCCCCTTCCCGGCGAGGCAGCCATGGCGGCCCGCGGAGGGCGGCCGCGCCGCG